AAAAAATGACGTGCATCAAGGTCCTATTATGTTTAATGTATGTACCAAATTTGAATGAAATCCGTCCATGCATAACTGAGATCCGGGTCCGGAATGGTGAAAATGTGCGATTTCAATGCATTTTCGGCCTTAAAACGGCCGCCATTTGGCTATCGTTAATGAGATCATGAAACAAATGCACATACATATTTGTGACATGATGTACCTTGTGTGTGTGAAGTTTGAACTCGATCAATCCAAGCATGTCTCAGATACGGATCCAGAACTGAATTCTTTAAAACAAAATGGCCGCCAGTCGGCCATTTCGAACCCGATCCAAAAAAAAAAATGACGTGCATCAAGGTCCTATTATGTTTAATGTATGTACCAAATTTGAACAAAATCCATCCATGCATAACTGAGATCCGGGTCCGGAATGGTGAAAATGTGCGATTTTGATGCATTTTCGGCCTTAAAATGGCCGCTATTCGGCTATCGTTAATCGGATCATGAAAAAAATGCATGTGCATATGTCCCATATAAGGTGTGATGTATGAGTGAAGTTTGAACTTAATCGGTCCATGCATGTTCGAGATACAGGTGATCACGGACGCACGGACGCACGGACGCACGGACGCACACAGGGCAAAACATAAGTCCCCGTTTTCGGACTGCGTCCGAACGGGGACTAAAAAGGTGACATACGGCATAGATGTGAAAAGGTGACATACGGCATATGATGCGAGAAGGCGACATACGGCATATGATGTGAAAAGGTGACATACGGCATATGATGTGAAAAGGTGAAAGGGATTAAAAGAATACCTTTATATAAATCCTACTGTTTACAGGGTAGTAGTTCCCAGCAACTGGTTCTGTATTGTTGTAATCCCAAGTGTCTCTATGATTACGACTGTCAAAAACAAAAAAATGTAACACAGCTTTGAGATCTGGGACTGAGCTATTTTAAGCAAGGTAACATACTGAGGTGATGGCCCACCAAGTTATGATACTGAAAGGTTGTCCACCTGGTTACGATACTGAACGGTTGCTCACCAAGTTACGATACTGAACGGTTGCCCACCAAGTTATAATACTGAAAGGTTGCCCACCAAAGTATGATGCTGAGGTGGTGGCCCACCATGTTACGATACCGAAAGGTTGCCCACCAAGGTATGATACTGAGGGGATGCCCACCAAGTTACGATACTGAAAGGTTTTTTGCCCTTAAGTTTGATATTAACAAATCATAATGCTGTCTGGTACTGATGATTTTTTTCAGGAATTGTTGAATATTGGTAATAATGAATGCAATGTGCATGTCTGGTAGCTATTTCGATATGGAAACGATATTTTATTTTTATTACAGATGATGAGCAGTTTTCTAAAGATAAATGCAGTGTAGAATAGGTATTTAACACCTTTCACGCTTATAACAGGTAACCATTCATGCTTCATTAATGATTGACAAAGAATGTAATTTTATTGATCAGAAAAGTAAAACAATTTACAAACTGATTTCTAATGACCAGGTTTCATGACTGACCAGGTTTCCTGACCAAACAGTTCTTTAAGAAAGGGTGAGCCCTAAGTGGAACTACATTAACTGATATATAGAGTAATCCGACGAGCGCCCTCATACGCCGTCGCCATTACTGGGGGGCATATACCACTCACAGTCATGGCGTCCCATAACAAATTACGTAAAAATAATAATAATATTTATTAATTACATGCGAACTCGTACTATTGCCACCACTACAAACTCACCTACAAATATTTAATACGCATTTCCAACGATTATTTTCTTGGATATTTGGAAAGACGATGTTAGAGACTGGCTAACATGTGGGGCCGAATGATCAACGGAAGGAGGCCAACCTATAGGACTGTACTCAGTCAGATCATAAAAAACTGTGAGAACTATTCAAAGTTTACTTGTAATAACAAATTAACTAATTTGGTAAACACAAAGGCTGCTTTGATCAAGGAAGGCATGTTAAAGCACACTCACTTAAATTGAAGGGTAAAATTTGGCAACATCAATGCACGTGCGCTGAGATGCTGTTGTGCATCTCGTTAACAAGCCCTGAAGGTACCAGTACGACTGCTCTAGTGAACATTTAGCACAAACTTCAATGCATTGATTTTGTCCAATTTTACAATTATAGACTCAACTTTACAATAATACATTTATGATCTTAACTTATGATCTTAAA